GTAGAGCCAACATAGGTTTCTGACAATAAAAGGACGCCAATCGCAACCATTCCTGGTAAGTAAACGTTGAACATGCTTCTCTTTTCAGATTTTTCATCTACTTGGCTATAACTTTCCCATGAATATCTAGTGAAAAAGCTCAAACTTAAAAAGCTAATGTTTAACAACAATACCAACAAGCTAAAGTTTTGTTTTCTGGCAATTATCATTACTTTAGTAATGGAATAAACTGAAACAAGAGCAAGAGCAGCCCCATAAATACATTGTCTTTGTAAATAGTTCAATAAATTTTCAATATTCTATTTAATCCTTACCTAAATGTGTGATATCCAAATACAAAGGTATCCAACATGATAGCAACCCCAACCAATACGTATAAATAGTAGAACGCCGTGGATTTCCAGTCATTCCATCCAACCATTTTGAGTAATATATAAAAAGCAAAGACTGAGAATAATATAAAATTGTAATGGCCAGAAACAGAATTAGGATGAATATTACAAGTATGATCTCCAATATATAATTTCAAGAATATTACTACAGAATATGAGCAATAATACCATGATGAAAATTGTAAAATTGCTCTTAAAGTTTCTTTCCAATTTCTGCAATGAGTAGAAGGAGAGTATTGTTTCTTATATGAATAAATTAAAGTTATAACTATTCCGAATAATGTTAATACTAAGAAGGAAGGAAATAAAAAGGTCTTTTTCAAATAAATTGCGTTTGAAACTACTTGTTCTTTTTTCTCAAATCTATCCACTAAACAAACATCCACATAATCATTATTATATTCAACCATGGATAACAATCTGCAAATTATTGTTAAACTCAAAATCCATTTTCAAAACACAACATACAAGCTAGATATAATTAAAAGTCCACTCAGAACTGTCAATACGTAATCAACCATATTTGCAATGTTTTCTTGATGTTGTAATGTAGGAGATGAAGAAGAAACGTCAATATTTACTCTATCAGTAGAACTCATCCAAGAAGCAGGTGTATTTGCTATTTATCATCACCCAATGAATTATCATACGATAACAATACCATTTAAATTATTAATTATTGAAAAATTAAATGCAAAATTCATCATCACACCATCGGAATATGTTGTTATCCAAATAATAATAATAATAACATCATCATCCACACATCATCATCAAACCAGCAAACTTACGCGCCAAATTACGAAGTATTTTACTCTTCCG